TGGTGATAAGTTCCTGATAGTTCTGTCCTTGTCTTGCTTTCTGGATGGACATGTGTTTTTTTTCTCTTCAAAATTAGTGACTCTACTTATAAGGCTAAAAGGATTGAAGGTGGGTTATGATACTTGTTGGTGCCGTGCGTTTTGACAGTATTCACCTTTCCTTGTTTTGGAAAGGAATCCGCCGTTTATAGTACGTTAAGAAAATGTAGTTACGTCCTAGCTTCTGATGGTCTTATTCACGAATTCATTTCCGCCTCTTTTCTGTGTCGTCCCATTTACTGGGTTCGACGGAAACTTAGGATAGGCAACTGGTGATTAACTGATGTACGAGGTTTTTACACCTTCAGCAAATCTGTAATAAGCGCCTAAGTTGTCCGTGATCAATATTGCAGCGTTCGACAAGGTTTCTTCTTGACGCGCGCATTTGACTTCTGGTGTACCAGTGGTAAAGGTAAAGCGAACTGAGTTTCATTGCACTGATATTGAACTGGGATCGCATAAATGCAAATGACCAAGAATCATAATTTTATTGCTATGCTTGTTTTCTATTAAGACTGAAATTAACCATCATCTTGCCAATTTTATGACACTAAAAGTCGTACGTTTTTCCCTTCGTCCATCCACTAGCACCGATTGTCTTCGTTCGTCTGTTTTCAGTCTTTAAGGGTATTGGTTATAACACCTCAACTTTACCCCTTTTTTAAGGTTGAATTTTGGGGGACGGGGTAAAATCATCACGTTCCGCAGGCACACCATCGCATCCTTCTCCCTCTAAGGTTTATAACTTTGTTTGGAGGAGAAACTGACATATTTTCACAGCTGCCTCCTTTGACAATTCAATTTTTTTGTTACTCTGAGCTCATTTGTCATGCTTGTGACACATTTCATTCGGTTCAATTGACATCTGGTTAGAAGAGTGTAACATTCAGTTTTGGCACTAGCTGGTCTAAAATTCACGTCCACCCAGCGGAGCGTCCTGCTATCGGAGAGTATGACCTCATTTCTATCAAAAATATCTGTATGTGTTCAGTCTAAAGCAGTTTTGTCACTCGAGTACTATCCTTGTACTGAGTTGATGGAGTTTGCCATTTTCAAGCTTTAAATTCTTTCTCATTCAATTTGATGTAATTGTGGGCGTAGCTCAATTAAACTAGTTTTACCTTTCTGCCACAGCGGCGCCGCTACTTAAGCTAGTGAACGCAACCAAATTTTCCAACTTGTTTACTCCGACATGTACGCATGCACGCGCCTTCTTCAGTCAACTGTTCTCCCAACCTGATTCACATTGTTTGGGGCGGCTTTGGACTTTGTGATTGTACTTGAACCGCAGTTTTTTCAGCATTTGAGTGGCACTAGCAGTGTTACTGTACATTCTTGAGAAATGGTTGTTTGGTGCTTTTACTTCAGTCGTACTATTTCATTTTGGTAGCCAGATGCGTTTTAGGGTCATCATAGGGACGCTTTTTTATCATTTTGTCTTCCCACTTATCAACCCTATTGTGCTTATCAAGGGTGTTGCGTTCTATTGTGTTATATGGGTTCGCATCGTGTAATACGGTTTGGACTTTTTCGCTGACGCAAATGGCTTGAGTGTCAAGAGGATGGAGCATGTGTGCTGTCAGACAGTTCAGATTACTATTAAAGACGCCAGTCTGGTAGTGGCTTTACTGCTCGTACCAGAAGGTCTGAGGCACTGGTAGCATATGGTGGGTATGAACAGAGACAATACTCCTCTTTTACATATGTTCGGTTTTGTTTTTGTAGCTTCTTATTGTTCACTATGATACCATTCAGGCACAATTCTAAGAAGCTCTGAGAAATGACATTAAGGTAGGCCATGGTCATATAAATTTTGTTTTTTTTTCTATTTCGATGTGTTGCTTACAAACCGGTGCGTAGAGGCTCGGTTGCCAGGTGCAGCATGGGCGTAAGTAATGCCTTACAGGGGTGAAATTTTATTGGCGGGTACACTTGTCCAAAAGCGAATTTAATTCATAAAATTCATGAAGCCATCTCTCCTCTTCATTCTCGCTCAACACTGACTTTAGCGCCTCATGGGTTTTCTACAAACTTATTCCACTCGTGAAATGCTGGCTTAGATGTTGATATTTTGCAAACCTTCGGGGCATTTGTTTCAGGTAGTTTGGCTTTGCGTACAGTGATTTCACTGCTCCAACCACTAATGTAGTGCATAACATTCGCCCAAAGGTAGTGCGAAGGCCATACACTTTTGGAAATTGCTGCAGCCAAAGTATAGAAAGGCTGAAAATCAATCTCTCTGAGTCTAGGGGAGTGAATTTTTGTAA